ATAACGTGATGGTAAGTTCTTGTTTCGTGTGACATATTAGTTTGTGGTTTCCTTTTTACAAATGCAGGCAAATGGTTCGTTGCATGTACATTTATTTCTTTTATTTACCACCCGCATCTGTTATTTTCTTGATTTCTGACTTGCATAGGACAATGATATGCCGATGCTATGCAGGGAACTAATCCTATAAGGCATCATAGGCAGTGTTTATCCATATATCTGTTTTATCTGTTACTAATTCTTTTATCTTTTGGTGCCTTATGAGGTTTGTACTTCTTTTAGGTGTTAGAGGCTATTGAATTCTGATGATAAGAAAAAATGCTTTATGTGTGTTATCAAAAAAAGAAAAAGTGCTCTATTTGCCCTAATTTCATTGATGTTGCTTGTTTGAGTTGCACTTTTTTTCAATTTTATGCTCTTAGGTTGTTGTTGGAAGTGCCATTGATTAGCATTTAGACTATAAAATTATTAATACATTGCTGTCATGTATATTCTTTTTTTCCTTTTTGTCCCTTGAGGAGCTTTAAATTGCCTTGTGGTTACTGGTATAGTGTGACTAAGTCCATAATTTACAGGCCTGGGAAGGAAGGGCTTATGATTACTGCATGGAAAATCTGAGAAGTGTGGGTTTCCCTGTGGATGGGCTTGCATTTGACCCTGAACTGGTATAGTCTGACCATGTGATCATGTTAATGGTTTGTCTTTAATACCCATTTGAGGACATTTCATTGGAAAACAGGTGNATAATGTACAGGCCTGGGAAGGAAGGGCTTATGATTACTGCATGGAAAATCTGAGAAGTGTGGGTTTCCCTGTGGATGGGCTTGCATTTGACCCTGAACTGGTATAGTCTGACCATGTGATCATGTTAATGGTTTGTCTTTAATACCCATTTGAGGACATTTCATTGGAAAACAGGTGATTAGAGGTCTTGTAATAGACAAAGAGAAAGGTAACCTAGTTAAAGCAGATAGATTTGGGTATATTAAGAGGGCAATGCATGGAACGAGAATGCTCTCAACTCGAGAAGTGAGGTATGGCTTGGGCTTTTGTGCCTATTAATCAGTTCCAAATATTGATCCATATATCCATTTTTATAGCAAAGATGGTCCACAAATGTTGTTTTGCAAATTGGGAAAGTTTCAAATCTATTTGCTCCTTGAAAATCTGAATGAATGTTCCACATTTTTATGTGCTCTGTGGAAAATTGGGTAACATTTTGGGTAGCATCTCATATTTTCTATGTATGGAAGTGAGATTTACGGGAGAGAACTGGTTGATCTGCGTAAGGAGAGTAGATGGGAGTTCCTCAATACACTATTCTCAGTTTCAGAAGCAGTGGCTTATATGCAGGTAGATCACTTGGCCTCCCTCAATATACCATGCCATGATTCCATACTAAATGACTTTATTTTTTCATGTTTGTCGTATACATTTGTTAGGTTTTTTATTGTGAAAGGATTTCTATGACTTCCATCTGTTCTTTATGCAGTTACTTTCCTTTTTAAAAAAGATCATTGTAGGTTGAGGGTTTTCATTAATCATTGTTTTATTTGTTATGTTTCTTGCGTTTTGATTATCTATTTTGTAATTGTTTTAGGGATCTTCTTGAGTTTGGTTTCTTCTTAAGCCATTTATTGATTGATAATAATTTAGGGTCCTAGTTTGCTAGGATCAGAGGTTTTATGGCCTGTTTTATTGCCCTTGTTTATATCTTTTGTGTCCTCTATAAACACTTGACCATGAAGGGGATTGGGTACTCTTCACTCCTGAAAGGTCGCTTCGTTACTGCTCTCTGTTTTACGTTTCCTTCTCCACAGAGGATTCCAGCTAGCTCTGTTCCAACAACTTATTAATGAAAGTGTCATTGATCCTTGAGTTCTTTTTAGGAATTTCTTAAACCAATTCTTCTTGAAGGTATTTCTGTCATTCCCCTGTCTTAGAAACTTCTGAATCAAGCAAAGATTTATGAGATTTCTTGATTTTAAAAAAAGATTGAAAGATGAGGGATGTCAAGACAAAGCTTCGTAAGGGAGCGGTAGCTAAGTATGGTGGTGAATTATAGTAAAATATGGTGAAAGTGGGTGGATTAGTTATTAGGAAGAAGATACGATAGCGATTTTGTATAATAAAGCTCTTTATTCTTTTTCCAAGAGTAGTGCATAATGCATTTCTGGCAGAGTAGAAGCCTGTAAAGCTGTAGGCTAATGTTGGCAATACTATGTAGGGACATGGTTCAGAGAATGTTTAGTCTGAAAAGTTGTAATGCGATTGATGAGGGGGAAATATTAAGGAAAGGACATAAGATAGTCTTAATTCCATGCCTAGCTTGTCCCCTCAGGCTTGCAATCCTAGGAAAATGATTGTTGGAATAAGCACAACCGTGGGCTTGTGGACTATAGGTGCCTGGTTGAGCTGGAGGCTGATTTAGGTATTGTGGAAGCATCTTCCTTAAGTAGGTGCTTACTTTAGATGATCTCTCGACTTTGGCGTCAGATTGCGGTGCTTACTTTGGTATGGCATGGATATTTTTTTCCGATAACTCTCGAGGGCTAGTGTCGCACAGTCCGAAACTCAGAGGATGATGGGCTCGTCCCTTTATCCTTCTCCACTAAAATACTGGGCTTTTGTCTGCGGTAAGGTTCGAACCCGTGCCGTACGCCTAATCAACACATCACATGTTGCGCTCTTACCGTTAGACCAAAGCCTTGGGGGCAGCATAGGGTATGGATATTGATAATTTATTGGTTTATTCATATGTCATTTGTAAAGTATTTTTCTAGCTTTGTTAACTAAGCTAATTGTTTTTAATCCTTTCATAGAGGAGAACTTCTCCTAAAAGATGGTTTATCCTTTCCGTAGTTATATTTTCCTTTTTTATGTTATAGAAATGAAATATACTCATCTACCACGTATTTGCCAAAAGAGATTGATACCTAGATAGAAAGGACGTCTCCACAAACTATGGTAAGAGGATAAAAATCTTTCTTTAACCTAAACTATTACTCATCCTACTTATAAGCTTCTCAGGCTCGAGAGGGCAACTTATGCAGAGGTGAAGAGAAGGTCAATTGTAGTCTCTTAGAGGTGCCTTAATATAGTTTGCAAAAGCTTTTGGTCTTTGCCATTGCCCAAATTGATCAAAGAAGCGAACTCCGTCTTCAGAAATTATTCATTTCTCATCCCCTTTTCTACAGAAAGAATTTTTTCCTTTGTTAAACAAGTTATACACAAGCTGGAAGGAATCTTGCTGAGTTTTGCTCCATAAGATGCTAGATATGTATGCTGAAGTTTGATTGTTCGCAAATGGTTGCTTTAAATCTTCATTTTAAGTTTTTGTTCCACATTCAGTTAATTTGTTGCTGAACCTGCAAAAGATGAGATCAGTCTCATAAGTAGATGTTTACTGAAGTGGTTCTCTCTTTTGATAAACAAATTCTATGATAGTCGTAGTACTACTCCTTTCGGTAGAGGCTGATATTTTGCTAAACTATATTTGGGTAAAGTTTCATCCAGTTGCTTGTTTCTCCTTAACGATGTTATATTCGAATTGCATAAATTTCTTGAACATCAGGGGTTTTAACAAAGAAGAATGTATCTAGCTAGCTCTAAGTATTGCTTCTTCAGCACTTTAGCCCTATGTCCTAGACACGTCTCTTTTGCAGATGGTAGATAGGCTGGATGAAGGAGTTATAGGACCAGATCTCTGTCCACTTGATTATAAAGGGCTTTACAAGGTATGATTTGGATGCTGTGCGTGAATGGATTGTGATCTGAACCTTGAGTTTGCCAACTCTTTTGTATTCTATTTAGGCTGTTGGTAAGGCACTCTTCAGAGCACATGTAGAAGGTCAACTGAAGGTATGTGTTTCGTTGATCCATAGCTTCACATGTTGGGAGCTGCAAATATCACTCTAGTCTGTGTCACACATGCAGAGCGAGATAATGTCCAAACCTGAACTATTTGTAGAGCCTGATCCTGAGCTACCTTTGGCATTATTGGATCAAAAGGAGGTATGTAACTCTATCCATTTGAATTAAATATCAATGCTCTATTTTAGAGCCTTGAATGAATAAACTTAATGATTTTAGCCTAGCAAGTCTGTAAAGGTACAATAAGACAATCAAGGGTGAGATTAAGTTGTCCAATTTCATATTAATATTTATTTAAGCTCCTAACAAAAAAAGATGGTCGATTTAGCATCTAACATTTCATGTTTCATCAGGCTGGGAAGAGGCTATTGCTGATTACAAATTCAGATTATCATTACACAGACAAAATGATGCAGCATTCGTTCAATCGGTATCTTCCCAATGATATGAACTGGCGAGATCTATTTGAGATGGTGAGTAAGTAAAACAAGATCATGATAATAGCGAATTTACTTTATCTCCAACAATTAGCCACTTAAGTCTTGATCTCATAGTATTAATGCATTTGAAGAGAAGATTATATAAAAGATAATTTTGTCTTGCCAAATGTCATAGTTAGAATTTGAGGGCTAACTATTTTGACTCCTTTATTGCGTGCTACAAATTAAAGTCCTCTTTCCATTTCCTTTTTTGTTCTACTCATATTGAGTTCGGGACAATCAATGCATAAGTTCTTCTTGCTGTTGAGCTCCTCTTATGTTGTTAATTTAAAAAAAAAGAACTTTAGTCCAACCCAACTCAAAAGTTAGCTCATGATATGAGGATCACCCCATATAAGAAAACAACAATCCATTCCTTCAACCAACATAGGCCACTCCAATACCACGCACGCCTAGTGTTGACAATCCAAAGCGTGGACAACATGACATAGGGCCCCAGCATTTCATACATCAAGAATAAGGATAGGTCTGGCTCTGATACCACGTTATGAAAATGTAGCAGGGGCATAAGCCAACCTCAAGGTAAGGATTGTCTAAGACCATAAGGAGACAACAGCCTGTTTACCTCATTGGATTTGGGATACTCAACAGTTAAATTGGATGACATAAACTAAATGATTATTAATAACTCTTAACATATCCTACTTGGAAAGAATGGTGTTGCAACTTGCAAGAAAAGAGAAAGAAAGAACAAAAAAAGGAAACCATGTACCTCTAACATAAAGGAGAGAACGATCATGTTTATTTGTATTTTTATTTTTGTTTTCAATAATTTTTTCTTAGGCGATAGGCAAGTACAAAATATTTCTTAGTAGCTATTATTTTGGACCTGGTCTAACTCATCCACAAAACTAGTTCATGAAACGAGGATTGTCCAATAGTATGTAAGGAAACAATAACTCATTCGCTTAGCCTATATGGGACACTTAACAATTTGGCAAAAGTTTCTTTTTTGTTCCCCCTTCATCTCTATAATAAGTCATAGAAAATACTTTCTTAACTGCCTTTCCTTTTTCCTTTTTTGGGGAGGGGGGTGGTGGTGGTGGTGGTTTGGTTTCCTTGCTAAATTCATATATGTTTGATATTTCTCAATTTTTTGTTAATTGTCCGCTTCACTTCAAAGAATCATGCTCTTCAATTCTCGCTCTTCGTGTCAACGTCCAAGGACCTTGCAATTAAAATAGCTAACTTTATTATCTAATATACAATAATGGTGATATTAAACCAGCCTCGTAACATTGAGATTCAACGAAAAGAACCAAACAATCTCGTTTGGATCACGTTTCGCATTATTGTTTGGCGGACACACTTCTCTGAAGCGCATGGCTTCACCAATGAAGCGATAAGCCGATAACCCCTCGCTTCACATTGTTTCATCACTTTAAGTGATGAACAAATTGTTTTTAATTAACACTGGGAGGCCTAGATATTTGTTTGCGTAGAAAATGACAGTACACAAGTTGGATGGTCCTTATGGATTGATTCTTGAGGACAATTAGCAGAATGATTGTTATAACTGAAAGAAACTCTAGAAGGGAAAAATGTCAAAAACATTGTGTGGGGTTGGAGCTAGTCTTTATTTGAAATCCTTTTATTAGTAAGAATTTTTTCTAGTATGGTAATATTGCATTTATGAGGTCTTGTTTTCTCTGTCCAATGGTTAATTTATTGAAATGTTAAATGGTTTTGTAACTAAATCTATTTTCCTTCTTTATCATTTGCAGGTTATAGTCTCATCTAGGAAGCCAGAATTCTTCCAAATGTCCCACCCAATGTATGAAGTAGTGACTGGTGAAGGTCTAATGCGCCCTTGTTTTAAGGCTCGCCCAGGTGATTAATTCTTCTAACTAATGATACAAAAATCATCCCTTATTTTGATAAGTAAATGAAATCATCTTCTCCTCATGTCTCATTCTAGCACAATTTCTTTTTCCAACATTATTCGCCATTTTGTATATGGTTGGCAAATGGGACAGACGAGATCCCAGTGAAATTTTCGAAGGACGCGGCCGGAGCAGGCTTGGAGTGGCTTACTGGATTGTTTAATATCATTTTTAGAACAAAGAGGATGCCCGAAGAATGAGGTGGAACTTGATGATTCCGTTGTACAAGAGCAAAGGTGAAGTCCAGAATTGTAACAACTATAGGGGTATCAAGCTGCCGAGTCATACTATGAAAATTTGGGAGAGGGTGGTGGAGAGGAGGGTGAGGAGTGTGTTGCCGGGGCGGTCCACTACATAAGCCATTCATCTTGTGAGAGGATTGGTGGAGCACTATGAGGAAGAAGAACATGCATATGGTATTCATTGACCTAGAAAGAACTTACGAAAAAGTCCCGAGGGAGGTTCTATGGAGATATTTGGAGGTTAGCGGTGTTCCGGTAGCGTATGCTAGGGTGATTAAGGACATGTACGATGGAGCTAAGACTCGGGTGTGGACTGTGGGAGGAGACTCTGAACATTTTCCAGTGGTGATGGGGTTGCATCGGGGATCCGCTCTTAGCCCATTTTTATTTGCCCTGGCGATGGATGTGCTGACGCGACACTTTCAAGGGGAGGTGTCGTGGTGTATACTATTTGCTGATAAAAAATGCTGATTAACGAGACGCAAGGCGGGGTTAACGCTAGGCTGAAGGTTTGTAGACACACTCTGGAGTCTAAAGGTTTCAAGTTGAGTAGGACGAAAACATAGTACTTGGAGTGCAAGTTCAGTGATGGGATGCATCAAGCCGGAGTGGAAGTGAAGCTTGATACACACTCATCCCCAAGAGAGAGTTTCAAATATCTTGGGTCTGTATTCCAAGGCAACTGGGAGATTGACGAGTATGTTACACATTGTATTGGAATGGGGTGGATGGAATGGAGGCTCGCTTCTGGTGTTTTGTGTGATAAGAACGTACCACCAAGACTTAAGGAAAGTTCTACAGAGTGGTGGTTAGACCGACCATGTTGTATGGGGCTGAGCATTGGCCAATCAAGAAATCCCATATCCAGAAGATGAAAGTAGCAGAAATGAGGATGTTGAGATGGATGTGTGGCATGCAAGGAAAGATAGGATTAAGAATGAAGTTATTAGGGACCAGGTGAGAGTGGCACCTGTGGAGGACAAATTTGCGGGAATTGAGGGTGAGATGGTTCGGGCATGTGAAAAGGCGAGACGTAGATGCCCCGGTTAGGAGGTGCTAGAGATAGGTAGAGGTAGGGCCGAAGGAGTACTTGGGATAGGTGATTAGACATGACATGACATTGCTTCTGCTTACCGAGGACATGACCCTCGATAGGAAGGTGTAATGATCGAGTATTAGGGTTGCAGGTTGACAGGTAATCAAGAGTTTCTCCTAGTCTTGCCTGTAGTATTAATACTATTTTTGTATTTTCTTATCCTTAGATCTTTATTATTACTCGTGTCGTTTGCTTCCGTTATCTTATTACCTTGTTGTTGCTATGGTTGCTTCCTTTTCACTATTCCTTGAGCCGATGGACTATCGGAAACCGCCTCTCTACTTTCACAAGGTAGGGGTAAGGTCCGCGTACACATTATCCTCCCCAGACTCCACTTGTGGGATTAAGTTTGTTGTTGTTGTTGTAGTATATGGTTGGCTTAATGTGTAACTTTTGTTTTATTTCTCAATAAAATTTGCTTCTTCTTGAGACATTTCAATTGTGAAAGTAGTTGGACTTTAAAGGTCACCATATCCTGGGATGGCATACCATGGAGTAAGACTTGAATAATTGGATTAGACTTGTAAGACTTGAATAATTGGATTAGACTTGTCAAATTTAGTTTCTTAAGTTCCAGTAAAGCCTACAAACATCTTAGCTTAGTTCAGGGCTTCAGGATTTTCAAGGAGTAAGTATCCGAAACAGAAAGAAAAAGAAGGATGAAACAAGCTAACTGATTAATGGGGTGGTAGCTAATTTTAACAATGCTTAAATGTAATTGTTACATATATTAAAAGAGAAAGAGAAGATGGATATTTAGAGAAGGAAAGGCCGAAAGGGGAACGGATAATCTCATTGTTGAAATTATTCTTCATATTTATCTGTTTATACCTGAGGAGTACATACTGCTTTTACGCCGATGAAATAAAGCAGCTTGCAGATGACGGAAAGTTAATTGCCTTGGGAAACTTTGAGTTAGAGAAATTCTGCTGCTAAAAGATTCGCTTGGAGATTAAGCTATGTTCCTGGCGTAGTTATCCTGTTGTGGGAGAAGCATGCTGACAGCTGACCGAGTTTTCGATAATGGGCTGTCATTAAAACTACTAAAGGACTGCGTAGGGCCCCTAAGAACTGGCACAGTAGCCCAACAGCATGACCCTAACAATGTATTTAGACCCAGAAAAAAGGGTAGGAAGAAAATAGAAATTGATTATCCTCCGATCTCGTCATGCAAAAATGATGTTATTTCTGGATGTAGGATTCTCTTTGTGCTTGAAATACCTCTAAAAAGTTTCTTGCTTTTGATTTAGGATCTGAATTTTGTAGGTGTTAGGCTTCTTTGAGTTTTCACTTGTCAGGAGTTTTCTCCGGCGATCACCATAACATTTGGCCATTGATAATATTTCATAGTTGCTATTGAACATGGACAGGACTTGTCCTTCCTACAAGCCGCAGCTAATTTGCTGGAGTTAATAATTTTCTTATAGGTGGATTGTACTCTGGAGGAAGCGCTCAGATGATTGAGAGTTCGCTCAATGTCCATGGAGATGAAATCTTGTATGTTGGTGATCATATATATACAGATGTAAGCGTATCCAAGGTCCATCTCCGGTGGAGAACTGCTTTGATTTGTCGAGAACTAGAAGAGGAGGTTAGTTAATCTTCGTTAGATCTTTGGGATTGGATCTTTTCCTTTTGGCTCCATTAGTTGGATTTGGGGGTTCCATTTGGTGGAATCTTTTGGAGTTTAGTATCTTGCTTTCTATTTCGGTGTTATCTAGTTCTTCTTTTCATCTCTGTTTATGATTTTGTCCGGTAAGACTTCTGCATATCATGCTTTGAATTCTTATTCTGCAGTATAATGCCTTAATTCATAGTCAACAACATCGAGCTACTTTGATAGATCTTATCAATCAAAAGGAGGTTCTAGGTGATCTTTTTAACCAACTTAGGCTTGCTCTTCAGAGGAGAACCATGGGACGTCCTGCACAGGTAAGTTTGCTATATCTACCATATATATATTCTTGCTTTTTTGTAGATTAACCTTAAATATTCTTCCTCCTGTTTCATGTTTGCAAGTAGTGTCTTCAACGTTCAATCTGATATTCACCAAGTACCCTAATAAGTAGTTATTGACATGTTGCTTGATATTGTATTACATATCTTATTGAAGGTGTTTACTGCAATGGCAAGCTGAACCTACAGGATTACTAGTTGGTAGAAAGAGTTAATCCTTTTTTTTCTGGAAACCATTGAAAGGAAAATGGATGTCTGCAAATTGTATTACAATGTAGCTTTGGAACAGAGTACAACACTCTGTCAGATCATTTTCTTTTTTTTGATAAGGTAAATTGATGTAATCAAAAGGGAGAAAAAACTCCCGCATACAAGAAGTATACCAAAAAGTAAAGAATTTACATCAGAACATGATTCTCTACAAAAGACGCCCAATCTTCTACACAAGTAGGGGCTATATGTGTGCACCAAAAAGCGATCAAAGATAAAAGACTATTCTTAAGATGTGAAAACGGAGACTCAATCCCATCAAAAACTCTCCTATTTCTCTCTCCCCAGACTATCCACATGAGAGCTAACGGGGCGAACTTCCACGCCTTTTGCTTGCTTCTTTTACGGAAACCGGCCCAGCTATATAGCATTTCCTTTACAGTGTTTGGCATCACCCATTGAAGATGATCAACTTCTTCCCCTGAGCTTTTACACATGTAGCACCAACTAACAAGTGTAATTCCTCTCTTTCCCAGATTTTCAGCTGTCAAGATCACTCCCTTCGCTGCTAGCCATGCAAAAAAGCACACCTTCGTGGGCGCCTTGGGAATCCAGATCGATGAGTATGGAAAAATGGCCTCCTCTCTCGCCAACATACTCTGGTAAAATGACTATACGGTGAACAAACCATCGCCACACAACCCCCATCTCCAAGAATCGCAAGATGGATGGGGCCTATCTTGCCCGTATAGCAGTGCCAACAAATTTTGGAGTTCCGAAATCTCCCAATCTTGCATGTTCCTTCTAAAAAAGAGGTCCCATACTACCCCTCCCTTCATGTTCCTTGCGAATCTGTTGGACCATCAATTCCTTCTGGTTTGAAACTCTGAAGACGTGGGGGAAAGAGACCCTCAAAGTATCCTCTCCACACCACTTGTGATTCCAAAAGCTGATTCTCCTTCCATCTCCCACCTTGTAAGTGATGTTGCCATAGAAAGCTTCCCAGTTCTTCATGATGTTCCTCCACATGCCACACCCGAACGGTGCTGTGATTGCCTTGGTCCTTCAACCCCCTCCCGTGGAATCGTACTTTTCTTCTATGATCTCCCTCCATAGAGCATGCTTTTCTACCCCGAATCTCCACAGCCACTTCCCCAGCAAAGCTCTGTTGAATACCCGAAGATCTTTTATTCCAAGTCCACCCCACTTCTTTGGGGAAGTGACTGTCTGCCAATTCACTAGATGAAACTTTCTAGTTCCATCCGCCGCTTCCCAAAAAAAATTCCTTTGAAGCCGCTCCAGTTTTTCTGTGATGCTCACAGGAGCTTGCAACAGGTAATAGGTAGGGATACTCGACAAAGTGCTTTTGATAAGCACTTCCTTACCGCCTTTTGACAAGTACCGTTTATGCCAGCCTGCTAATCTTTTTTCAACCCTTTCAATGACTGGATTCCAAACCGCAGTATCCTTATGCAAAGCGCCCAATGGTAGACCCAGGTAAGTAGTGGGAAGAGAGCCCAACTTGAATCCGAGAACATGAGACAAAGCACCAATGTTAGCAACCTCACCCATGGGGAAAATCTCACACTTGCCGAGGTTGATTTTGAGTCATGATACTATCCGAAACCACTGCAGTACCTGCTTCAGGCAGGTCAATTGATCCATATCGGCATCGCAGAAAACCAGTGTGTCATCCGCAAAAAGCAAATGAGAGACTCTTCGGGCACTGAGCACCCCGATCGGAGCTGAGAATCCTCTCAAGTAGCCTCCACTCGCCGCACGATCCATCATTTTACTCAGATCATCCATCACTAAAATGAATAGCATGGGGGATAGGGGGTTACCTTGCCTGAGACCCCTGGAGCTGCCAAAGAAACCACACGGGCTACCATTAATCAGGACAGAGAATCTGACTGAGGAAATGCAGAACTTGATCAATCCCCTCCATCTTTCCCCAAACCCCATCCGCTTCATAATGAAGTCCAGGAACTCCCAATTGACATGGTTGAAAGCCTTCTCAAGGTCCAACTTGCACAGTAAGCCGGATTCTCTATTTTTTCTTCTGGAGTCTACAAGTTCATTTGCCACCAGAGCAGTATCCAGGATCTGCCTGCCTTCCACAAACGTATTCTGGGAGGACGAAACAGACACGTCAAGAACCTTCTTGAGTCTGTTGGAGAGCACTTTAGAAATAATCTTGTAAATGCTCCCCATAAGACTGATAGGCCTGTAGTTTCTGATACAAGATGCGCTTTCTTTTTTAGGCACAATAGTAATAAAAGAAGTATTGATACTTCTCTCGAAAGCACCATTCACGTGGAAGTATTCAATGGCTTCCATCAATTCCACCTTAATGGTGTCCCAACAGAGCTGGAAGAAGGCCAAGGAGAAACCATCAGGCCCGGGGGCCTTATCACCAGCACAACTCGAAACAGCATCGTGCACCTCCTCCTCCTTGAAAGATCTTTCTAGCCACTCACTGTCTCCCTCCCCTATGTGGTTGAACTCTATTCCCCCAAAGTAGGCCTCCAACTAACTTCCTCTTTGTATAAGTTCTCATAAAACTCCACTATCGCCCCCTTTTACCTCCTCCTCTCCCTCAATCCTCACCCCATCCACAACTAAGGACTCTATGAAGTTTCTCCTTCGATTTGCAACCGCAACCCTGTGGAAAAACTTGGTATTCGAATCCCCCTCCTTTAGTCAGAGCGCCCTTGATTTTTGCTGCCAACTAGTCTCCTGAGCTATTGCTAACTCGACTATTTCCCTCTTAACCTCCCCCAATCTCG